AAAAAATCGTATTTTGTTAATGTATTTTCTTAGATACAGTTTCTATTGCTGTGAAGAGATGCCATGACCATGGTAACTCTTATAAAGGAAAACATTTAATTGTGGTGGCTCGTTTACAGTTCAGAGTTCATTATCATTATAGTCCACTATCGTCACGGCAAGAAGCAAGGCAGCATGCAGGCAGACACGGCGCTGGAGCTGAGGAGTCCTTTATCTTGATCCAGAGGCAACTGGAAGTTGAAATGAACCACTGGGTGTGGCTTGAACATATATGAGACCTTTAAAGCCTGACCCCATAGTGACATACCTCCTTCTCCAAGACCACACCTACTCCAACGAAGGCAACTTCCTAATAGTGCCATGCCTTATGAGTTTATGGGGACCAATTCCATTCAAACTACCATAGGTATGTTTAATCACTGGGAGATTTCAAGCAGGAAATTTTTTTTTCAACCACTGGTATTTATCCAGTGTTAAAGAAAAGCAATAACATCTCACTACCTAGCTATCCCAGGTTCTACACTAGCCTAATCCAGACGGTGGGTGGGTGAACTACATACACATTTCCACCCAACCATGGAACTGTGAGCTACAGTCACCTTTCCATCCTGTGTCTGACTGAATTCCTGAAAGGCAAAACTGTCATTTTCACCATCCGTATCCAGAGCCTATCTGAAAACATACTGAAGTTGGCACCTAGTACTCACTGTATGATCACTGAACAATTTCTTCCTGTCCTTCTGGCTTTCTAGAACGCAGGGGATAATCTTCTGTCCACAGCTAAATGCTCCCCAGAAGACCGCAGTTCGAGTCCTGCTAAAGGTACTATTTGGACACTGAGCAAAGCATATATGCTTTAGTAATTTATTAACAGGCTGGTTTGGGATGGCATATATGCTGCAGTGCATATGTAGAGGTCAGAGGGCAGCTTTCATGAGTTAATTCTCTTTGTAGCATTTGGTCCTGAGGGTCAAACTCTGCTCAGATGAATGAATGGCATTTACTACACAAATGGTATTTTCCTGGGTAATCAATCATCTTCGTGTAGCATCAAGAGAAACTTGCAAAATAATTTAAAAAAATAAAGAACTAGAATCATCAGTGCGGGGGTCCAACTCTGGTCTTGCGTTAACTGGTCGTTTAGTTTGGAAAGTCCCTTTTTTCTGAGAACTTTTTAATTTGTAAAATACACATGGGAACATTCTTACCCAAGTCCCCACCCACCCTTATTTTAAAAACCACAGTATTTTTATGGAACTTAATGGGGTCTCACATAACATTTTATTAGTAGAATGCAGTTCTAATGCTACTGGTTACTCTTCAAAAGCAGAGCATTTGACTCATCTGCCGCCATATTTGACACATGGCCAGGACCTATAAATAACTGCCAAAAGGATGGAGGGCAAAGCAGCTTAAAATTTCCCTGTGTGAAACGAACTAAACTTCAAATACTCATGCCCCAAATTATTTTAAACAGTCGCTGTAAGTGTCATTTCATTTTAGATAGCAGACACAGCAATTAGCAGAGTGTCTGCGCAGCTAGAAACATTGCCATTCAGTCTGGCTTTTATTCGGGATAATGAATATGAATGCGTTTTGACGAAATGAATGGCTCTGCCGCAGCCATGCTGAATACACGCTTGCGCTGCTGTGATGCGTGTGACCCAGGCAGAGGACACATGCTTCCAGCTACAGAACACTGGCCTTTCAGTGACCCCTGCCCCTCACAACACAATGGAGAAAAGTGCTCTGTAGATTGGAGGCACCCGCCAAACCTCCACTGATTAGTGCTGGTTGGTGGTGGCACGTGCCTTTAATTCCAGCGTTAGAGAGGCAGAGGCAGGAAGATCTGAGTTCAAAACTAGCCTGGTCTACAGAGTGAATTCCAAGGCAGCCAGAACTACAAAGTGAGACCCTGTCTTAAAAAATATTAAAAAAAAAAAAAAGCAACAATAACAAAAAAAATCAGCTAATGTATGGTGGGGATACAGAAGTACAAATCTGTCCAGCCTGAGCCAGATATGTTAAGGATCTGTTACTTTGTACATATAACTACTTACCTTCTAGGCCAAGATGAAGAGGGAGCTTATAAAAACAGGAAGCCACATAATTATGTTATATAAGTCCAACACACACACACACAAACAAAACCACCATAAAACCAGCTATTACCCTCCCAGGTACACACAAATTAGAAAATTGGAATCGTGGCATTTGCAAGAAAAAGATAGAACTGGAAGTTATGTTTTCTCCCATAATGCAGCTCCCTAGATTTTAATTATGTCAGTGGGTGGGAATAAGGAAGGGAGACAGACCATAATGGAGGGGAGCAGCTTAAAGAAGGGTTCTGAAGGGGAGAAAGAGGGGACATGAGGGTCAAGTGTGGCGGCGCACATCTTTAATCCCAGCATTTGGGAAGCAGAGGCAGGCTGATCTCTGGGGATTCGAGGACAGCCTGGTCTATAGAGTGAGTCCCAGGACAGTCAGAGCTATTAGAACTACATAGTAAGACTATATCAAAAAAACAAAAAATCTTTTATAAAAGAAATGTGACATGAACGTAGAAGGGCTACTGGGAGACCAGCAGCAAAGGGTCAGGGAGAAAGACCCACAGAAAGCACATATGAAAATACCGTAACAAAACCCATCTCTTTGATGCTCATTTAAGGCTTAACAAAAGGCAAACACCTATAAAGCTTTAAGGCTGGGATCTCCTTTGGAACTCTAGACTAATCTGTTCCTCTCATCCCACCATCTAATGTATGTATTGCACACATATACATATAATATATAAATGTAATATATACGTATAACCCCAATTCAGTCCTTACCCTTGCAAATGTCATGACGGCTGAATAAAACTCAGGTGTGTGTGTGTGTGTGTGTGTAGCACCTTTTCTTTATTCACCAGCCATACTTCTTATGTAATTGTAAACTGAGCAGCCATAAACACAAATGAACAAGTATCTCTGTGGAAGAACTTAAATTCAATTTTGGACTTGTCCTTATGGTAGCTGTATTTTTGTGTTGAGAAACCACCACTGATTCCCATGGTAGCACTGGGCATAACAGTGTACACCTTTGGTTTCAGCACTTGGAAGGCAGGGGCTGGCTGATCTCTGAGTTCGAGGCCAACCTGGTCTAGGTAGGGAGCTCCAGGACAGCCAGAACTACATAGTGAGGCCCTGTCTTTAATAAACAACAGTTAAATTAATATGCCCAGCGTTCTCATGCTAAATATTTAAAGTAAATATGTAAAGAAAAAAGCATTAAAAAAATACTTGAGTCTTCTAGTAAATGGGTTAATGAACTGAATGGTAGTTCTCAAAAGAAGCAAACTGACAGCAAACACCTAAGGGGAAATGCAAGTTTTAAAGCTACTCAAGGTTTGTCCTCACTAGTCAGAATGGCTAACGTGGAGAAGATTAACCCAGGCGAGGATGGAAACGGCTAATGAGAATGAAGTGGAGCAGCTACTAGGGCACTCAGTGTGGTGGTTTCTCTGGGAGGGGAGGGGAGGGAGAGAGGGAGGGAGAACAGAACAACAGAAATGAGATGGGTGGGGCCTAGTGGTTAAGAGCACTTGCTGTTCTCCCAGAGGACATGGGTTCACTGCCATGTGTAACTCCATTTCCAGAGGATCCAACATCTGAACTGAGGAGCACCAAGCACACACGTGTAGATACACATGTCTGCAAAACGCTCATATACATAAAGTAGTTACGGGGCGGGGGGAGAGAGAGACTCGGTAGAGCCCTTACACAAACACACAACCAGGAAGGTCAAACTGATTGATGAAGACACCTGCCACAGTTAAGTGCTGATCCATTTATTTTGCAGAAATCATCTGCTAGGTCTGGGCACTCTGAAAATCTAAAACAGTGAAAAGGGCATGTTAGTCGGAAGAATTCACTAAAAATTCTAGTTCTGTCATTGATTACCAAGTCATTTAATCTTTAAAACACTTTACTCCTCCGCTAGACAAGTACGCTAAGTGCAAACACCAAATCTGAAGTGCTGTCATAGAGCTTAAGCTGTGGCAGAGCAGTGCTCTACATTAACCATGAAAGCCATCATCGCAATACAAAATCAATTAAGCAACTACTGTCACTGAGAAAAGGATGGATCCCCAAGATGTATTTCCTCTCATCTAAAGTCTGCCATAAAACACAGGATGACAAACTTGCTTTCTAGTCAAGCACATGTCTTTAAGTCCAGCACTCGGGAGTCAGAGGCAGGAGGATCTCTGAGTTCAGGCCAGTCTGGTCTACAGAGTGAGTACCAGGACAGCCAGGGAAACACAGAGAAACCCTGTGTGTGAGTGAGTGTGTGTATGTGTGGTAGTGGGGGGGGAGGGGTTCTTAGAAGGGAGACAGAAATGTTGACAAAAGTATGTGTTCAACTGTTATGAAAGAGGTTACTTAGTTGCCAATTCTGTTTTTGACTGAGCAAAGTAAGGGTTATTGGGCTAATGTTTAAAGAAAAATAAAAATAAAAAAGGGCAGGTACAACATTCACTTAGAATCTCAGTGCTGCCAAAACAGACACAGGCAGATCCTTGGACTTGGGGACGGGTAACCCAGCCAACCTGGACAGCTCCAAAAAATAAAAACGCAACAAAGTGGATGGTGCTTGAGGAATGACAACCGAGGATGATGCGCACTCGCGTGCACACACACTCACACACAAGGATAATGCGCACTCGCGTGCACACACACTCATACACACAAGGATGATGCGCACTCGCATGCACACGCATTCACATACACACAAGGATGATGCGCACTTGCACGCACACACACTCACATACACACAAGGATAATGCACACTCGCACGCACACACACTCACATACACACAAGGATGATGCGCACTTGCACACACACACACTCACATACACACAAAAGTAAGAATAAAGAATGAGAGGAATGACGAGAGATTTCATTTAAAGACCACCAACCACACTCACAGCACAGATGGCAAGAGTCGGAAATATAACAACTGATGTTAAAAAAACAATATATTCAGCCATAAATTAACCAAATGACAAGTTTTACACAACTTATGAAACATCATTACTCAAAAAAAATCCAGATGATAAGAAGTTGGTAGCTGCGATCTATGGTTTTAAGAATTCTTTCGCTGAGCTGGGCAGTAGAGGATGATTATCACAGCTTTTCCAAAGAAACTAATCAAAACAACCAGCACACCTGCTAACCCCAGTACTCAGGAGGTAGATTCAAGAGGTTAATGAGTTCTTTAAGACCAGCCTGGATTCACATCTCCTACAGCAGCAGCAACAACAACAAAAACCCCCAAAGACAATAATGAACCTAATCCTGGGAATTTGCCTTGAGGTCTTTAAGGACATTTTGGAGACATCAAAAAGGCAGTTCCAGAAGAAAACACACAATGCTCTGTTTAGAACACAACCTATCTGGGGAAACATTCTTCTTTAGGAGGTAAAGCTTGTCTGTAAGTCAATCTCACAGTGATGCTGTGGTATGGGTCTAACTCTCCTCACAAAGGCCCAAGTGCTAAAGGCCTATGGCGCTACTGGGAAGCTGTGGAAACTTTAGGCCATGCCTAAAATGCACTAGGGTGTGTCCTCCAAGGGCACTGAAAAAACCTCGCCTCCTCCTCTTCCTCTTCTGCACCCACAATGAGGTGAATAATCTGCTTCTAGCACGTGCTCCCTGCCACAATATGCTACCTCGTTAAAGGCCTGAAGCAACAGGGCCAAACAACCTCAAACCGGAACTTCTAAATCCATGGCCCCAAATAAACCTTTTCTCTCGACAATTGAGTCATTTGCTACAGTGACGTAAAGATAATGCAGGGAATATAAGAACAAGAGAATTATGTAGAAAATAAGCCAAAGAGCCATACAATTTAAAGGTACTACTCAAGGACTAATCGGGGAAACAAGAGGTATCAGTGAAAAGTAGCCAAAGCAATCAACAGCTCAGTGTGAAAAGGTACCTGCTGACAGGCCTGACAACCCAAGTCTGATCCAGGGCCAGCAGTGGAAAGAGGACAGTCGACTAGCACAAGTTTTCCTCTGCCGTCTCAGGTGCATCTGACCTCCATACACAGGCCATGGTATTTGTGCCTCTTCCCAAATAAAAAGTTTAAAAGTTGCAATGCAAAAGTAAAATCCAAGAGACCAGATCAAACCATTTCTCCATTTAACTTTTAACTATTTTGCACCAGGGAGCTCAAGAGTTGGTTTAGTGGTTAGGAGCACTGGCTGCTCTTCCAGAAGATTCCCACATGGTGGCTATCACCAGCTGTGACTCTAGTTCTAGGAAATCAATGCCCTCTTCTGGGATCTTTGGGCACAAGGAATGCACATGGTGCACAGACATACACGCAAAACACCCATACACATAGAACAAGTAATAAAAAAATAAGTGTTTGCAGCAGATAAACTGCAAAATATCTTAAGAAACACTTGCATTTCCTTGATAAAGAATCTCTGAGCCAGGCAGTGTCACAGGACTGTGATCTCAGCTCTTGGGAGGTAGCAGTGTGAGGGAGGATCAGGAGCTAGAGGTTACTTTGGCCTATGAAGTCAGTCTGAGGCCAGCCTGGACTAACACTGTCTAACAACAAAAGTCAGGCCTCTACAAACACACGAACTACACTTTCCTTCCGCAAAGCTTTCACTCTACAAATCCCCTTGGAGTTGGTACATAGCTCAGTGGGAGTGCCTAGAATGCTTGAGCCCCATAATAATAATTTAAAAAAGTTCATGTGATGGAATTGGAAAGGCCACTACTAAACTGTCTTAAACAATAAGCTGTCAAGTAATGAGCTAGCGAGGCATATGGAATTGACATAGGAAAAGTCATGTTTTCTACAACTGACTGCTTTCCTACACAGACAGCCACAGAAAAGCCACCTATTCCTCTAAGAGCAAATCCCAAAAGAAACCCAGCAAAGAAATGCCGCCAGTGATAGAACTTCTAATTATGACCTGCCTATAAATATTTTACCCTCAAACGCTTTTTAGGCTTGCCTTGGCATAACAACTTTTCTGGAGTATTTGTTTTCAGAAATTTGTTGTTTTTAAGTCTGGAAAACAATTTACTGGTTTTCTTAAATCATGATCACAAAATCATACTATCTGCTGCTAGATCTTTGGACGTTAGGAAGCCTCAGCTTAGATGGACTCTAGCTTTTCTAACAATATTTTAGGATGCTTATTCATACAGCTGAGAAAGTACTTTCCCCCAGGAAATGTCACAGTGGTAAGAGAAAGCACTTGCCCAGCAAGGCTGCATCTCTGCACCTGCCCAGCAAGGCCCCATTTCTGCACCTGCCCAGCAAAGCTGGTTTCTGCACTTCCTCACATCCCTGGGTAACTAACTCTTCTTTAGTCCAGACCAGTGAGCCCTCAGGATGCACACGAGCTTTCCAGGAGTCTCCTTCCTTCCCATCGTGGAATTTTCAGAGGCTAAGACCTAAGCTGGGATGCCTTATCTATCAACAGTGTAACGATTTAGGTGATAAGACCAGAAGAGAGCAAAGGAGGTTTTACCCGAAACTTTAGGTTTTATCACCTAAAGTCTACTAATTTTACAACAGACAATACTCAGCTTAAATTCTAGATGAAAATCGTTTTAGCAATTAGAAAAAGGATAACCATATAAATATTATAATAGTGCTCAATTTCTTTTTTGAAAACTCAGGTCTAAAAACGGATGAGTTTAAATTTAACCTTTTGGTATAAAACGAATACCAACAATACTAATGCTGAAAAACTAAATTACAAAACAAATACATGATCACAATTTAAATTCTTTGGATTGTTTATCTCTAAGCCCCAATACAAAAATTTCAAACTTTCCCAACCACACATGGTAGTGTTAATATTTTATATGTAAAAATGTTGTACTTTGGAAACTCTGTAAATGTTCACAGCTGTCACCACGGCAGAAAGGAAAGGTGGGGGCTGAAGGGACAACAGTGGCCCAGTATGACAGGAACAAACACTGCTAGGGACTTTATGTCGACTTCTCTACTGTTCAAAAACAAGTGAGCATCTTCTAGCTTCATCGGCTTTCCGACTGTCAGACAAGGACCTTTACTTTTCTCAAGCAGATGAGACTTGGACCTCAATTATTGGGTCCCCTTTACATAGAAGGCCAACACTGGTTTTCATTTCTATTGGAACGAGGAAACGTCCACTAGAGTCCTCAGAATGTTCAGGGAGGAAAAACTTGCAAAGCTTTCCCAGTCCATACAAAATGATCAGAATGTAACAGAAGCTGCAGAAGATCCAGAACGCCCGTCAGTCATATTTGATCCTCTCTATCAGGCGTTCCTCCTTGTAATGGGAAATAATCTGAATCAGGATGGAACAGTTGATCAGAAGAAAGAACAAACCCGCTAACCAAATAAACAGGAAGGTGTTCTTGCCTTGAAACTCTAGCACATACGCGGGAGTCAGCCACAAGGCCTGTCCTATAAACCACAACATCAAGAGGACGATGGCTCTTCTCCAAGGGATTCTCACTAGTGGCATCACCAGAGGCAAAAGGCAGAGGTACCAAAGGAAGTACTGAGAGGTGCAAACTTTGTTAAAAGTCACAAAGATGGATGTGTGAAGAAAACAACAGAAATCCAGATCTCTGTAATAGGCAAAGGACACGGCTGATAGCAGGATGAACTGTGGCAGGAAGGCTGCGATGCCCAGGGTGAAACTCCACTTGCTCTCTGCCGTCAAGTACAGCATATAGAAGTAGGGGGAAAAGTTGTGGCGGATGTCCCTCCTGGTCAGGTGATAGAGGTAGGTGTGCTCCAAAAACTCCCAACCGTATTTATAGTAAAAACCGAAGTTCAGGGCAAAAAACGTGAGTCCCGCCACCGCGACAAAGAGCAGCACCGCCCAGCTACACAGCCTCCTCAGGAAGTCGTACAGACGAGCCTGGAAGGAGTAGCGGGCTTGCCGGAGACTCTCGTCGCTTTCGCGCTCAGGCCGCAAGTGGAGCGCTATGGGGAGGATGTAGGTGACCGGATACATCTTCATGTGCACCGCGAAGCCATAGAACACCGCGGCACACGCGATCAGCCGCTTCTCTATTAAGTACAGGGCCGTGAGCACCAGGGAGGCCACGACGGAGTCGGCGTTGCCCCGGCTCGACACCGCCATGGGTAAGGGGTTAAGCAGCCAGAAGACGCAGTAGCCACAGGCCTGGCGGCGCCCCAGCCCCTTGAGCAGCAGCAGGCGGTATAAGAGGAAGGCGGTGAGGAGATCGCAGCTGATGAAGAGAAACTTGCCGAAGAGCTCGGTGAGGTAGATGTTGGGAGTGAGCAGCCAACTCAGGAGCGGCGTGTAGCGATACGTCGCCCTCAGGTAAGGCGAGCGCCCTTCCGTGACGAAACGCGCGGCGTCCGTGAACACATGGTAGTCGATGTCGGTGTACCGCACCAGCAGAGTCCGGTCCTGGAAGACACCGTAGAAAACCAGGGCGACCCGGGCCAGGAAGGCCACGGCGAACACACCGGCGGGGGGCACCCGCAGGTTCAGGAACCGTTCCCCCCAGTGCCTGGTGTAGCTCATGGTCTGGCTGCGGCCCGGCCGCCCGGCCCGGGCCCCACGCTGCGCCGCCCGTTTTCTAACCGTCCTCCTGGTCCCCGCACTCGGCCTCCCGGAGCATCTCCTCCGCCCGACAGCAAACAGAAACAACCCGGGAGCGAGCACTTCCGGCACGTCGTCCCGCCCCCTCGCTACTTCCGGCCTCGAGCGGCTTCTCCGTGGTCCCCCCCCCCCCGTTGAACAATTCCCTTCCTCGGGATTGGCTGCCTTGCTTCCCCTAGCTTCCTCCGGCGTAGGCGGGATTTCCGGTCCCCCCATTGGCCACTCTTTTGCTGCCCGGAAAGCCCGGAGTGGCTGAGCTCTTGCGGAGCTGGGTGAGTTTTGTTTTTAGTAACCGGTGCCGCCGCGCTCCCGACCCTCGTCAAAGAGTGAGCTGGGACCTGCTGCCTACATCCCTCAGGACTGACTTGGAGAACTGGGAGTGAAAAATGTAGATGGAAAGGAAATAAACCTAAAATAGTTCTCATTTTTGACCTCTGTTAGGAATTTTCCTACCAGAATCCGTCAGTGCGGTCGCCCCTGGAGTGCCCTCAACTCCCGTTCTTTTCAGGCATCCTTCACCTAAATCAGAATCTGCCCTCCGCCCACCCTATTCCACCCCACTAGTTTCTTGCCAAGGACTCTAACTCTTTAATTCTTTTTCTGGTTACTGCACTTAGAATCGACTTAAGAACTTCATACTTTTAGAATATTTCCAGTTTCAACTAAATTGTAGGATCCTTGGGAGTAGAAAGTGTTTATTTCTTTGTACGTTCCTGTAATGTAGTACAGTCTCAGACACATGGTAACCGACCCGGGCTGACTGACTTGATCTTACAAACTGAGCCTGCTCCTGGGGAAAGTTTGGTGATTAGTATAGAGGTGGCTCCAGTCCGTCTGGACATGCAGCTCTCATCCTACGCTTCCCATTCATCCTTTGAACGAGCCGTACTAACCTCATATTTTGATGCTTCTATCCTTTAATATGCTTTGATGTAAGTATACGTTGTAGATTAATAACTACTTCTAGTCATTTTTCAGCTTGCTCTGATCATATATACGGTGATGACACATTATCATTCAAATAACAGCCGTTATGATTCATAATAGTTGTTAAGGGCTAATTTACAATTATCAGACATGCTAACTACTTTTTAATGTAAAGTAGATGTTCTTATTGTTACCAGTGAGGAAAATCAGAGTTTACATAGAGTAAATAAGCCACACAGCTGAGTAGCAGCAGAACTGGAATTGAAAGTAGGTCTGTCTGACCCAACATATTTTAATTGCTGCATGATGAACGTACAAATAAAATGCCGATTTGGAATTCTGGTTTTGCTCTGTGTTTTGTCTTAATCTCACCTTGAGAGCTTTCTGATAACCTCTCTCCTTGCTGCGCTTTTTATCCCTGGTTTGTTATTTTCCTTTGGGAGTTATAGGAAAGTGAAGCTTAGTCTCAGTAGAGGATGTAAGAGTAGTATCTAAAGATTCATTAAGGGTTCCTCTGGGTGGGTTGTCTTAGGTATTTTGGCCTCCGCTAATTCTCCTCTATGGCTGGCCTAAAAATAGGAGAGACATCGAATTCAGAAGAAAAGGTAACAATTAATCAAAAGGAACAGCCTGTTTGGAGTCGAATGAGAGGCAGAAAACGGCAGAACTCTTGAACAGATCTCACTCCCTGCCGTTAGTGTCCAACCTGTGGAGTGTTTTCCACAGATGGTGTGTTTTGGAATATGTTAATGACCTGTTTTGTATTAGCACATGCTAAATGCTTCACCCTTGGTATCTGTGTTTGTTTTGTACCACTTGTTTCTCACAAGCGTGTAAGAACTACAGATTTGGGATCTGGTTATTTCATATGTCTGTGACATTTATTGTCTTTTATGACTCACTTGTCTATTTATTAATGATGAGAGATCCAGTTTTCCCTCTCCCCTTTGTCCTTCCATCTCAAAGACTGAGAGTCAGTGAGTATAACTTGTTGCTTCTTGCCTGCATAATGGGGGTTGGATATTGACCACAACCTTCTAAGGCTCATGCTAGGTAAGAATAGATGAGAAATCAATGACTTCGAGACTTGGGGACAGAAATGCCTCCTGCTTAAAATGGGCTTCCATACCCTTTCCATGTGTAAGGAAAACATCCAAAAAGTATTTCTGAGTGTGAAAGAAAAGCAATGGACTCAGATATCACCATCTAAAAGGGACAGTGTCCCAGATCCGGACCAATTTGACTCCTTGGAATTAGCTGAGCCAGATTTCAGATTCCTGAGTCTTCGTATTTAGTAAGTCTTGCCCTTTAAGAACTGGAATTTCAGGCTAGACAAATGGCTCAGTGGTTAAGTGCACTGGATGCTCCTCTAGATGACTCCAGTTCCATTCCCAGCATCCACATGGCAGCTCACAATTGTCTGTAATCCTGGTTCCAGGGAGTCCATGGCAACCAGCCTGCACATGGCGCACATATATATGCATGCAGGCAAAATGCCTATACTCGTAAAATGAACTCCATTTTAAAAAGAGAAGAACTGAATTTGCAAGCCACAGAGTTGGCTCAATGGGTAAAGGTGCTTATCCTGCCAAACCTGACAGCCTGAGTTTGATTCCCTAGACCCCATATGGTGTAAGGAGAGAACTGACTCCTGAAAGTCGTCTCTGATGCCCACAATGCACACCACACAAACATAAATAAATAGGATGTCTTTGATAATTTAAGACTGAGTATGGAATCTATTTCTTAAAGGATCTTAATAAGGGGAAGAGCAAGAAAAGGGTTGGAAGGTTTGTGGGTACTGTTAATGAAATGTATGCGTGGACGGGGAAAACCTGCGAGAAAGGCGGAGCTGAACTGAGCCCTCCCCACCCATAAGTCAGCCTAGGAGTTCAAACCTTGATACAAGATAGGTTTCGATGTCTAAAAGAAGATGCAGTGAGAACAAGAGATTCATCCAGTTTATTTAGTAGTCTCTTCTGCACAGACAAAAATAAACCAAAAATACCTTACACATCTTTTTTCTAAATACATTGGACCTGGTTTAGTTTTTAATGCAGCGTGTAGAAAAAAAAAATCATTCCTAGATACCTCTGCTTCAGTAGTGTTGGCCAATAGTGGGCCTGGGAGCCCAGTTAACTGTACAGCATAGGTAATGTGTTATTTTGCAAAGAAACTAAGCAAGCTAACAGGGATAAAGGTTCGTGGCAGCAGTCGTGGAGAAGGTGCAATGTTCCTGGCCAGTAGCGATATTATGACTGCTTTTCTTTCTCTGCTGATGTCAGGGAAACCCGTGCATAGTTTCACTAGCTGAAGTGGGTTTTGGGGAGTGGGAGGGGGCAGAAGGGAGCAGCAGGAATTAGGGGTTTCAGAATCCTCCCATAGAATTGTACCATCCTTCAGGGAAGATGAAAACCGTATTCTTCATAGAAGAGCTTCAAAGCCAAAGCAACCCATCTGCCTCCCCACCATAGGGCAGGAACTATGATATGTGCAGCACCCTCTTTCTGATTCTTGTACATAGGCTCAGGCCTCTGTCTAGGGAGTATCTTGAGTTCAACAGCTTATCAGTCCTGGCATTTGTATTCTAACAGTAAGGTTTCCACTTAAAGCCTCCCTCCCAAATACCAAATTCTCAGCTTCTCGGTTTTTAGTTATGGGGCCTAGCACTAGAGCTCCTACCCTGGTGGAAGAATGGGAAACGCGGAGTGTACTTCAGGAGGAGAAAATGGTAGGATGTTTTGTTTGTTTGCTTGCTTGCTTGCTTGTTTTAGAAGTTGTTCAGCAGCAGGTTGTTGCCAGGAATAGGTAGAACATAGTATAAGTGATAGATGTTCCTAGATCTTCATGGGTAGGGCATTTCCTTGCCCCATTACCTCCTAGCTCCTCTCTTGTCCTATCAGCACAGGTTCATCAAGCCTTGATGGGTGCGCCTCTATTTATGAAAGGGACAACAGGGTCTATCCCTCCCTTTTCCATAAATCAAACTTAAAACCATCAGCTACTCTCACCGCTCTGCTGACCATAACACAGAAAATCCAGGTATGCTACTCCATAAAACCAAGGCAAGATATTTGTCCCTTTGCTAAAATCTGAGCACTTCCTTTCTGTACATTCCATATATGTGGGTATATGTACATCTATATACATATCTTTCTATATATTATCTCTGTTTTCCTCCATAGATAAACATATATATCATATCCCAATTTCCCACGTTTCCACCCACCTTGTCTGTGTCAGTCATAAGTAAGACTCTGGGTTTCATTTCACTGGGTCCCTTAGCCTCATCGTTCTCATTTTCACACTCTAGATACCCTTCCTCATTAGTTATTTTGCCCACCCCACTTAAAATCCTCACCTGCTGCTGTCCTGATACTCTGAGTCTATAGCTGGTACAGACAGGGAACCCACTTCTCATCCCTCCTGGCTGCTATAAAGCTTGTCCTACATCCTGAAAAAGGATTCAAGTCAGGGGACTAGGAGTGGGAGTTGTTCCATGCAGAATGTTGGGCTTGTGGGAGAAGGGCACCATTCTGAATTAACAGGATGCACTTTTGAAGTGCACCTTAGAGGAAAGCCTGGGATTGTAGAGGAAATCCCAAAGCGGTTAAGGCAGAAAATGTTCTCTTCTCACATTGTTAGCCAAGAGTCGGAGGAGAGGTGGGCCTTGGGCAAGAGACTGGGAAGAGAGGGAAGCAGCAATGCACAGGAGAAGCCGGGCAGAGGAAATATGGCCAGTGGATAAGAAGATACACACAGCAGTACACTTGGTCCTTGCACACTGAAAGCCACCAGGAAGTGCAGCGTTGAGTGTACGTGAAAGCAGCTGGCTCTTTGCCAGGTTCTTCTGGTTCTCGTCTTGATGCGAGTTTAAGGATAATGGTGGGTTTTGCAGGAAGAAGAGGCTGAAGGCTCTTCATTTTCAAGCTACAGTTAACCGAGTTCAAGGAAAGACCAAAGTGAGCAGACTGTGCACAGCTGAGATGGGTTCAACCGCAGGGCTTCTGAGTTCTCTGCAAGGCCTTGCCCAAGGAGACATGTATACATTCTGCCTAAATGTGTTTCTTGTCGTCATCTGTCAACTCCTCCTTAAATTAACCATGTGTCATCCCTGCTGGAATCCCTGCTATACCATGTTCCGGGGTTGCCT